AAGGTCATTCCTTCTTCGGTCCTGAGCCTAATACAGTTTTTAAGAAAACCCCAAATTACCCAAGAGAAAGATAAATATAATAGCGATATAAAGTGAGACAGCTGGAAGCTGAGAACAGAGGTTAGTACTGACAAAAATTTCTTGGTTATATAAATTTATTGCTGGTGTTTTAGCCCCCCCCCCCCCCCCCCCCCCCCCCCCCCATCATTGACACAATTTAATTTAGATCATTCAGAAGGCGGGCTTCCAAAGCTGGCTGGGGGAAGGGAAATACAACAGAAAAATTGACATACTCCGTAAAAATTTGCCCCAATTGAGAACTTTTTACAATTTCTTAGAACCAGCATCAGGAAATTTCCCATCAACCAACAGAAGAAGTGAGACCGCAGAGTGGAAATCAAAACAAAAAAAGACTTTGATGAGATCCGACCAATGAGGAGAGACAAGTTGCGGGTGGTCATTTCCCCCATCAGAGACAAGTACGGTGTGAGAGCAGGCCGTAGCTGCGAGACGTTTAACAAAACAGGTGACGTTTAACAAAACAGGTGACGTTTAACAAAACAGGTGACGTTTAACAAAACAGGCGACGTTTAACAAAACAGGCGACGTTTAACAAAACAGGTGACGTTTAACAAAACAGGCGACGTTTAACAAAACAGGCGACGTTTAACAAAACAGGCGACGTTTAACAAAACAGGCGACGTTTAACAAAACAGGTGACGTTTAACAAAACAGGTGACGTTTAACAAAACAGGCGACAGCATCGAGATGAACAAAGGTGAAGGCCAATTAAGTCACGCTAAACGTCGCGTTGTTGTAAACCATGATCACTCCCAACGAAGCAGTTCACGGCAAATGGGCAAAAAACAGAGCATACCCCCCCCCCTACCCATCTCCCCCCTTCCATTTCGCCCCTCTAAAATAAATTCACTGAAAACTCCATTGAGGTATGGTTTTAGTTTTAGTAAGGTTTCATGGTGCTCGCAACTGCATAAGGTCATATGAACGCCAAAGGAAGAATGTCAACAGAGAAGTCCAAACCGGGAATCAGGCTTACTCAAGGTACGGGTTTACAACTCAGTTCAACCAAACTTAACGAAAATAAAGAAAATGACCGAGATGAGTGGTCCATCATGAAAAATAAAAAATCTTTACGTTTTCAAGAGATCCTTGTTGTGAATATGAATCCCAGCCACGTTCGTCGATAATAATCGCAGTTCGGCATGACTTCTAATGAAGCAACATTGAGCTCCTAAACTCAACTACAGCACACAAAACGATATTGCTGCTTTCCACAAGCCAGGGGGAGAAGAAAAAGACACCAACAGATGAGGGACTACAAGGGAAGAAGAGACAGGACGGGACACCCTTCACTTTTGCTGAAACAGAAACTTCTGGCCAGAACAAACAACGAAATGCGGAAAGTATGAGGTACCCTACAAAAATGTGTAGAAACTCTGTATGTAAACGCAGTCTGATATGTAATAACTATGGTACACTGGTATATATATTTATAGATATATATGTATATGTATGAGCAACATGTGCCGAACTCATGTAACTCAAGGACATACATAGCAACATAAACAAGCACATGGAAATGTTACACGCACACACATGCACACACACACACACACGTATAAAAACACAAAGCCATAAAGGTATACACTCAACCTGTAAGTCAGTAACCACAAACGGTGCATTATAAAGTCATCATAGAGTCATTGGAATCATTGCATAACACAGGAAAGTTCACTTGGACTTGGAGTAAGCATAATGGCTGACGCGATAGACATCATAAACACATTTCTTTCTGTGAAAACATGGGATACGATGATATCAAAGGAGGATGAGCAGGTGATGAAAAAGAGTCGGAGAAAAAAAAAAAGAAGAAAAAAATCGAGGCTCGCTAGAGTTGAAGGCACGTAAAACTTGACGCTGAGCAAAGAAATGTAGTCCGAGTTATTGTAGATAATCCTCTTCGTCCGGAAAACAATTCCCGTGGCATTAACAAATAGTTTATCAACCGTGACTGCCAAACCAGTCCTGCTGAAAATGGCCCTAACAAAAAAACATCAGTTTGGTGTCCCTCCTGACTGCTTAGTGCAAGACTCCGCCCACACGACATTTTGGAAAAAGTGACATACGACGGAGGGTTACACTGGGAGCGGTCGCTCTGTGCTTGCAAAGTAAATATGTAATAGATTTATATATAACTATTGTCAGTTACCCACACTCACTCAGAAGAAGGAAAAAAATCCAAAAAATGTGAGGCCCCTAAAACAACAGAGAAAATCAAATGCTGTAAATATTATATATAAAAAGTAAGAGAGTAATCACAACTCTTTACTGCAACCTGTCTACCTCAGCATAAATGAAACATCATAAACATAATATATATATAGCTTCACAGAAAAGTTCATAAATAAGGATACACAACCAAAATTGATTTAAAAAACACAAACCACAAAAAACCAACAACTATTGTAAAATCACTAACCAAGTAGCTCACAGCTCACGGTACAAATCATCACAAAATCAAACATTGACGTATCCGTATGACCTTGACCTACAGAAACGTTTCGATAGTAACAAAACATAATTAGGGGGCGCTCACAGCAAAGTTAACTTATTCTGCAATAAAAAATGAAACCATTGAAGCAAACGACGAGCTAGACCCTCACTGACACAGATGTCGACTTTCACAACCATAATGGGGTTTTTTTAGTTTTATTAGAGTTTTTACGGCGCTTGCATAAGGTCATTTGAGCACCACCTCATGGTTTGCTTTGAAGTAAGCAGACTCACCGATGTACACACAATACCATGATCGACCAACCACTCGGGTATCAAACTTGAGTCTTCTGCATGTGACAGCGAAGCGCCTAACCGCTACACCACAAATGTCGGTCGCACAGAGGTGTTACCACCACTACCAGCCGTGTCAACAACAAAAAAAGTATTACAAAGTTTTTAACCCACTCGCTCTGAGTGCACGGAATGTTGACCTTCTTCAAATCCTAACAAACAAATCCAACTGCTTAGTTTTAGTTTTAGTGTTTTACGGCACATGCAACACAATAAGGTCATATACTGCTTCGTGCGCATTACATCATTCTGAAAAGTACATCATGGGGGCGGACTCTGACATGAACAAGTCTTCATTCCCTTCACATCACCACCACCCTCTCTTCTGGGACAGCAAGAACAATGAACAAAGAACCCACCATGGAATATATATATACACAGCAATGTATATAGCACTCAAACAAGTTTTGAACAGCAGATTTTCTCCCACACCAATACGTGTGGGTAAAAAATTTCCCCCGAAGGAAAAGATATACAGACGTAATCAACTATAATATAATCATCATGTATATATACAAGTGAGCTTTTAGGAACCAATGCACCACCAAAAAAAAAATGGAACATTAAAAAAAAAATGGAATAAAAACTAACAGCACTTGGTTCACAAAGCTTGTAACACTTTGATTTGATCAAGGGAACTCAGGCTGACGTACGTACAAATCATCAGTTACGTAAACACACACGTCTCAATCAGAAATTATAAATATCTCTAAAAGCATTTCGTGAAAAACTCCATCTATAAAAAAAAATAAAGTTGAATCAAGTAAACACATATCCATTGGAATGTCTTAGCAGTGGTGGTGGCGACGATACATTTGACAGCCTGACACGCATCTTGACACACATACTACACGTGTAATTTTGTAAACACTGGTCTCCAACACGTGCTCGGTATATATATATAGAACAGACGAACACTACAGCGGGCCCTGTTTGCGGAAACATCTTCTCCTCATCTACGACGTCAAACTCTCCACTACCTCAGGGAATATCAGAAAGTTTAAAATAAGAGATCAACAGCAAATTTCTGCCCTTTACCCATGGTAAAAAATATAAATATGAACTGAGAGTCAGGGATGTACGGTACATAGGAACTCTTTTTTAAAAAATTATTCGCGGATACATTGGCCATATCCAACAAAAGGGTGTAGATATCTAGACATCTGAACAACCAATTCTATTCATAAAACTTAACTGCAGAGGTCTTACAGCTCTGTACACCCACATAATTTATATCATTTTGGAGGCGGGCTGTTAGACACTGTCTGTCGGGGAACACCCATGCCGAGACCGTGAAAGATACAACTTCCCCAACAGACAGAGATGCTTGATAAAAAGTCCTACCCAAATGGGGAATCGAACTCACATCTTCTCTGCATGGTGACAAACCACCTTGCCACTACACCATAAATGCTGGTACTGTACACCAAATTCTGGGTGAAACCAAAATTGCCCGCCAGTGGCAAACAAAAAACCCCCAGATCTAGTTACAAACATAATTACCATCGATCTTCCACAAAGACATACGGAACAAAACTCTAGAATAAAGTAGCAATGAAACCTTGGTGCCACAAACCCATCACCATTCACAGCTCGGAAATATTACCCTGTACTACTGGAAAATTTCGGGTCACTCCATGCCATTAATACACACAGGTCATTTGATGCCCATTATTACACACTGGTCATTTGATGCCGCCAATACAAACATTTTCAAAAGTCTATCAGAAAAGAAATATGTGTCACGACGTGGTGGAATCAGGCGCTCGTCAATTTTTTAGCATATGGAGTTATTGGTATCAACTCAAAGTAAGTTAAAACCCATTCATTCGTCTTGCTTTTGATGGAAGAAATATTCATTTAATCAAGAATACAATTCAAGACAATTGTTCAGGGTAATCCACACAGAAATGTGTTTTTACATAGACATAAAAGGCATTGAGCCCCCCCCCAATTTTTTTTTCAAGCCCAGTGGTTTGAATAATGCTGGTTTCTTCGATGTCGTTCGAATGACGAATGCCTGATTTCACCATGATGCCACACGCAGTGTACAGAAAACTGCCACCAACCAATCTTCAGGTGCATCCTTAAGAACCGCATCAGGTGGGCATGTATTTTAAATTACACTTGTATCATGAATAAAGATAAGAACTTTTATTGCAGTTGCAAAAAACCAACAAATCTCGAGACAGAACAAAACAAGATTTCTATAGATAGATCAAAGATCAGCTTCGGGCAGGCAGGCAGACAGACTGTTGTTGGCACAAAACTTGTGCACTTTGGTGTTTTGTTTTGCATATATAATACGTCATTCTATCAGTTTTTCGTAGCCTTTATCTCCATTGTTGGGCCCTCCCATTGTGGTATGGAGTGAACCAATTGAGCACTGATGAACACTGAGAGATGGCTCAAATAAGACTTTTTTTGTAGTCAATATCTGTGACGCCCACATCCACCCAAAAAAAAAAAAAAAAAGACACTGCTGAAAGAATTACTCAAAAATTCATGATTTTCTTTGTAACCAATATATGTGACGCCCACATCACAGTGTCAAAAGATAAAACAACAGAAAATATGGGGGGGAAAAACACACAGACCTTCATTGATGTTAGTAGTCCTGTTGTTCTGGATCCAGCGATGTAACTTGGCACAAAAACGTAACTTTTCAGGACAAATTTGTCTGTTACTTCTCGCGTCCACTTCAGTCTTGTTTATTCTGGCAACCAGACAGTTTGTTTTCCCCAAGTCTCTCTCACCTCAATGTTAGATCATCGTGATAGAGAGAGACAGGAGTGTGGGGGAGGGAAAGAGAGAGAGAGAGAAAGAGGGAGGTGGTAGATAGAGAGAGATGGTAGATAGAGAGTGAGCGAGCGCCTCCAGTGCTGTGTCCCACCAACGTGGATCTTTTAAGCCCTCTTCTGCCTGTTCAGGTTGTTCAGCATCAGACTGATGTACGAGGTCAAGAGGTCGTCCATCTTGTAGCCCTGAAAAACACAAAACATCACACGTTAGTTGTCCTACAATTCTTGCAGTATCATGTCTGCCAACTTTTTCAAAAACCAATCAGGAACACCCAACATCACAACATGGAATTATGTAACAACAAACAAAATTACATCAAGTGGGACAGGTTTTGGAGTAATTTACATGATACAGCTCTCAATACGTAGCGTAAACACGGCCTCGCGGGCACTCGCGGCCTTCCGACCGCGTGGTATCGGTGAAATTGGGGTAATTCTGATCGCTGTTTCTTTGCTCTTTCGCTATAAAACACCAAATGCGGTACACCTTGTAAAAGTTCAGCTTTTCCTCGTTACAATGGTGTAAGTTGTTTATATGTCCGATTATTAGGAGCTGGAGAATCACCGACGAAAGCGAAGCCCCTCGCCGTCTGAATGCGCGGTCGGCCGGTTGAAAAATTAACACACGTGTATTCAAATGCTTCGCGGAACGAGAGATGATTAAATACCGTCTTTTCATTGACGGAGAACTGTAGAACTTTAAACTGCTTTCCCGTGATATATATTTCGCCTTTGGCGTCTAAATAGAAAGCTTTTAACAATACTGTCAAAATGTTTAAAGGTCACTTTTTAAACAAAATATGTAAAATACCGGCTCAAAAAAGGTATCAATTAAAAGATCAGTACATTTTCTATTAGAATAAAGTAATCAGCTTGGAATTATTTCTCATCAATCCTTCCGCGGGGGCTGGTGCGGCGCCGGCCGGGCCAGCGCTCGGTGTTTTTGTCGAAATAACGACAGATCATCGTGTTTGAGGTGATAAAATACTGATTTGTAATGATCGTGCCTTGAAAAAAATTAGGCTCCATATATTATTTGTTATAGTGATTGTACTCTGTTAATGTGGAGATGTTTAGAGCTCTTGGTACAGTGGAACTCGGATTTAACGAGCTCGGATTCAGCGAGAACTCGGATTCAACGAGATGAGATAGATTCCCCGTTTTTTTTCCTTCTTTAAAAATCAATAAAAGTAACCCGGATTCAACAAGCACTTAAATCAGCGAGCTCGGAATCAACGAGGTCGCTGCCAGGGTGAACAGCCCCCGCAGACGTGGCTTCGCTCATTTTTCTCC